GAAGCTACCGTTTAAGACGAGTCAAAGGAGATAGAAAACCATTATAAAGCTCAGTTGCGTTGGGTGTTCTTCAGATCACAACGAAACTGATAATTTCGCGTTTTTTCATTCGTTTTTAAATCCTAAATGTGTGATTTTTCCTCACACGATTTTTTTATTTTTACGGTGAATTAATGTCGCCCAAAAAAAATTACATACACACCATATATGTATTACTCATCCCCTCTAACCACTGGTGATTAGCCAGAGTCAACCCAAGCATATGATTTATAGCTAGTTATCCCATGCACTGCGGATTTGTCTCTAAGTTGAATTGGAGGTTAGGAGCTGACGTGGCAACATTATACTCGTCCATCAGAACTACTCTACTAGACGACCACTACTCATCCCCACTAACTAGTCTTCGAGGGCACTAACCTCTTTGCTCGCCCATAATCACCAATTCTTAACCAGTGATTAGCCAAAGTCAACCCAATCCTAGATGTCACGTGATACCATCTTAAGTAGTGATTATACTTGGTCAACCGCAAGGTACTCGTTGGCTAATAAAAAGCCAGCGCCGTCTAATAGAAGAACATTCTAGCCGTTGACAGCTCATCCCTATTGGGAGGATTATCCCATTCAATACACACATGACGACAACGACTTTCCTTGGACGTTGACTTTTCTTCTAAGAAATATCATTGCCCTTGAAACGGTCAAGCTTTGAAAGCAAAAAGGTTGTACATTAGAGGATTAGGGTTCGTCAGCGGGGAATATCACGACGGATATCCCTACGCCAACATACTTATCAATAAATACGTGTTATATTTCAGTAGGTACCTGAAAAGTATTGAAACTACACATATACCCTTTATTCAAGAGCATCCGGAGGGAGTGACATGGAATATTCGAGGTTTGGTGGATGTGTAAATAAAAAAGCCGGAAGTTCTCTAAGCCGAGTTGACGAGGTGGAGCCCACCCCCGCGGTGGGCCCGGCAAAATGGCTTCGCCGATTTGGAACCCGGTGACGGGGGAGCTGGAGGGAGTGGCGGCTCTCACGTGGGAAATGACGTCACAGTGAATAGATAAGATCGGACGGACCGGACAAGACGATCGGTCGAGAGATAGAGGGCAGATTGATCCGTAGCCGCAACGAACAGCGCGATCAAATGCGTGACGCACTGAAAATGCCCTCGTTAGCGAATTAAATAACTCATGAAAACAACAAAAAAAAGAGAATATAATTGGCTAGACGCAGTTCGTCTTCCTGTGCGCAACGCAGGGAATCTGCATAGATAGATCGGCCAAGTACAAGATTTCTATGGATCCGTACAGAAAAAAGAGGTGGCTTCGTTACCGTGCGTGGCCGTAAAAACGTTCGTTTTGAGTGTGGGCCCCACTTCTGCTCTCTCTCTCTCTCTCTCTCTCTCCCACTCTCTCTCCTCCTCCTCCTCGTCCCTACCCTCGCGAGGGGGAGGGGGGCTCAGGCTGGTAGGTTACTCAGATCCTTCGTTTTGTGGTAGGAAAGAGGATCCCTGAGGCGTAGGATTTCTGCTGTGGCTGTTCTGCTCTGCTGCCGCGGGGAAGGCGACTGCGGGAAGGAGAGAGTCATGCTAGGGATGGGCTGGTAGGGGTGGCAGTCGGGGTTGTTGGATATTGGAAACTCGCGCTCGCCGGGGAACACCTGCGAGAATCCCGAGAAGGCTGCGGCTCTGTCCGGTAGTTCGACCCGATTCCAGTTCGGTGTGTCCTGTTTTATTTCTACTCGTGTTATTGTGCTTCTATCATTTGGAATTCTCCCTCGTCTGAATGCACTGTGTTGTGGGGCGTCGACTTTGCGCGATATGGGACGCTTTGTCGACGTTTCGATTGGTTAGACGGTGATAAGCTATAAAGCTCTATCGTTATTGTTGAGTCAGATGCCCAGTAGGGGGGGGCGGGGGGCGGGAAGATTCATTTGGATTAATGGGAAAGCATTCCTCAGAGATAGATTGTAGCTTGCTCGTATTATCTGTGTTTTTTTTCAAATGAGCATTGCCCTCCCACAACGATTGGTCTTGGTCAAGCGCCAGCTAAAAAGGGTGATGCTGGTAAACTGAGAAAATGGAGAATGCTGGTAAACTGAGCATTTCTCTGATGAATAATTTTTCTACTCATTCATCGTTTGAATACCCTATCCATCGGTTGTTCCTTAGAAAATGGAGAATCACGCCGACAGCAGAAGAAGATTCACACTTCTTTGCGTTGACTGTAAAAAACTGCGTTTGTCGACTACTGTTCCGTAGTTGAATCCCATAATCCGAGTCCTAAGTTTTTTGACTAGTACATGCTACGTGGTTTCCAGGAGAATGACTACTAGCTTGGATGGGACAGAAAATGTGTGGTTTAGGTAAACTGTACTCGACGAAGTGTTCCACTGTCGTTCATCGGGATGTTATTAGGTAAATCAACAGCAATAAACCCTTTTGGGTGTCTGGGTTAGGATGAAGACTATTCTTATAATTTTCACAGTTGTCCATATTAATGGTGATATTTTAATTTTTCTTTGACAAGGCAGATGTTGTTGGTCCACATCGATTAGAATAGTTGTAAACTCAACTTAATTATTTGTGTTGTATATCCTTCAGATGAACAATAATAACCTTTCTACTCTACTACTTTGCTTTCTTTTGTTTTGGATCTCTAAGACTGGAAAGGAAGGTGGTACGTGCTTCTTCCTATGGGATGACAGCTGCAGAGTACAGAAAAATTGGCAGTTACCAATTACCAACGTGCGGGAACATTGGATATGCTGGATTAGGTGGTCAAAATTTGGCACTTTTTGTGAACGTATATTTGAAACTTGGGTGAGAGGAGGCAGGATACTGATTTAAGTCGTTATAGATGTGCTGCATTGGCAGCATGGTGAGTTTCCGTCACACATGAGTAATTAACTGTCCATGATATCAAGAATAATTTGGCAACTACGGAATTACCAGTAGAATAAATTCCAAAGTCTAGACATTTTGGTGTAGCTGTTAAGAAGGCCTCACCATTTGTTATTCAAATGGTTACTTGGCAGACACACTTATGGTGGTGAATTTTTTTTATGACATATCTCAGAGAGATGTGACTCCCTTTGTTGAGGAGAGGAGGAACATCTTGGGTGAGATAATTTCCATTGTTCAGGGAAACATTTAGGCCAAGATCCTCTGCTCAGGTAGCACCTTTGGGTTTGATGTCTTCTTTTGCTGGGGTGGGGGGGAATGGGGGGTTTCAGTTAAGATGAATTCATTTGAGTTAGAAAACCTGTTGACAATATCGGATGGCTTCATCAGTCAGTCGACGAGGTTAGATGGCACAACCTTGGACGGAGAGAGGGAATCGGATGACAGATTACATGGGAAAATAACGCGCCACTCTCTCATCTCTACTTTGGAGATTGTGCTGATGTTATGGAACCAGCCAACATGTGAAACATCCCATAATCTATTAAATCTAAAGTTTTAATGTGAAGGATATCGTAAGTGGCTCCTTGATAATGATTGATTGACGCTCTTATTGGGGAAAGTAAATTAGTCTTTTGTTCTCTGAATGACGTGTGGCGGGAAACAAAAATCGTTTTGCTGACATATTTTCCTACAACCATGAGACAGTAGACATGATATTTGTTTAGTGAATTTTTCCTAGACATGATATTTGAATTTTAATGCTAGTTTAATAAGCACAATTGTGGTGAACGCATGGCTTTTTAAACCTTGGGGTATGATCCTTTTTTTTGCCGCCTGAGATGAGAGGAATTCAATTGTATACATACTTATACAGATTGTTAAGAGGCTCGGTGTTTATGCTCCATCTATGACTTTAAAGAAATATGGAGAGAGTTGTGAGGATAAGTGAGCTTAAAGCTCCATTTTTCCAATTTATTTGGGATAAATTGTAGCTGTTGTTTCCATGAAAAGCTTAGTCTGTGCTAGTTTTGTGTATCCATTGGAAAAAAAAATGAAGCAATTCATAGATCATATCCCTGATTTCTGTGAGTAAAAAATGATTGTAAAAGGATATGTCTATTTCTACATTTAAACTTTGGAGTAATCTTTTGTTATGTGCTTTAGTAAAGAAGCCTTGTTAATGCTCATCATACTTACCCCCACGCTGGAGACATATCAGTGGTATTACTATTTTTTTCCTTTATTTTTGTTTGTTCAGTAACTTCAATCCAGTTGGGTCTTTTTATTCTGATGCACTCTATATGGATATATTGACATTATGTCGTCGACAATTAATTATGATGTTGCAAAAGCTAGCCAGAATTAAATGGCACATTACATTCTTTTACCTCTATTGCAGGACATATCCGAAAGGCTTCTGAAATCTCTCTCTTTTTAATTTTTCTCTCCCAATTGTATGTTTGCCATTATCGTTTTTAAAGAATATTATCTCATTTGTTTTCAGGGAAGCTCTTCTGCTTTCCACTGTTACTTCGTGAAAATATAGATTGAGCTATTTGCTTGCTGTTTTCAAATTATGACACAGATGGTTATCTTTGTTGAGTGCAGATGATGATCAGTTTTTTCTTGTCAGTGTGTTATCCTGAGTGATTATACACCATTCTAATTGTTTTGAGCTGCCTACCTGAGATGTGGTGTGCAACTTGTGGATCTCGGTATGCTGTCTGACCACTGGTCTGAACTTATACTTGATATGCCGGACGCATTTATATCGACTATATTGGCTGACAACGTTGTTGGTTTTAAGAAAGCCTGAATCTAAGAAACTTCTCACATGTTGGCTTGTCCATTTGAATCAGTTATTCAGTTTAATGACTTCAGACGAGGTTGAATGGAACAAATACAGCAATCTTGATGGAGTCTCTTGAGTCATCTAACTATTTTTTCTCAAAGAAAGAGAAACTATTGCCAAACTGGAAGAAGCCGCATATTGGTTTAATTGGCATTTCTTTGAATGATCAGCTCATTTGAGTATCCTGGACGTTCTAGTAGCAAGTGGCATTCAATAATGTGCTATAGGAAAGAATCATGGAACATGTATCAGAGAAGAAATTTCCAGTTGATCCCAAGGATTACAAGTTGTATGAAGAAATTGGGGATGGTGTCAGTGCCACCGTCTACAGGGCACTCTGTATTCCATACAACGAAGTTGTTGCCATCAAGGTATTAGACCTTGAAAAATGCAATAACGACCTGGTAAGATGGTTTGTATTCAAGTACTTAGAGACAAATATTTATATCCTTTAGAGTTCCAAGACATCATGATTATTCTCTTGGTTATTTCTTTTACTTTTCCAAGAAGAGTTTGGTTTTTGCTAGGTTACGAGTTTTTTTTTTGCATTATTTAATGTTTATTTATTTCATCGTTTGCTTTCTGTGTATCGACCATAAGATCAAGATAAAAAATAATTAAAATGTATAATGGAAAAGTTGTTTCAGCTATGGTAACTAAAACCAAATAACATAGAATAAGGAGAGTGAAGGCAACAAGTACGCTCAATCTAAGATTCCAAAAATTCTGATCAACTTAATCATGGGCAATTTTTGGTGCTTTCGAAGAAAAACATAGTTTTGTTACATTTTCTTTTGTAGATAACCTTTGACACAAATCAAACGAATGAATACTGGAAAGTCTGGCAGTGTGATCCAATGTAGTCGTCCGTGCTGAGAGAATTTATACGTTCATTTGACATGTGATAGTTAGAGTTGGCAACACAGCAACAATATAGACTTTTATTCTTGCGACAACACCACTTCATTCTGTGTGTACTATCCGGTGAACTTCTGATTTCTTAACAAATATTATATTATTGATTACATAAATGATTCCCTTGATGTTGTTACAAATAATCCTTTTAAGATCCATAGTCTCGTGTCTTGGACTAATTGTTCCACAGGCTTCGTAGAATTACTTATGTTCGGCTTAGTCATTGTCCATGCATTACTGAATGATATATATGTATATATTTATGCAAAGAAATTTACTTTCTGTTTTCAGGATGGAATTCGACGTGAAGTGAAGACAATGAGTTTAATCAATCATCCTAATTTACTACATGCCCATTGCTCTTTCACTTCGGATACGAGTCTTTGGGTCGTGATGCCTTACTTTTCTGGAGGATCTTGCCTTCATATTATGAAATATGCTCATCCTGAAGGATTTGAAGAGCCAGTTATTGCAACGCTATTACGTGAGGTTCTTAAAGCCCTCGTTTATCTCCATGGCCAGGGTCACATCCATAGAGATGTCAAGGTATTATATAATTGATTCGATTATTTATCAATACTGGCAGTGCTGATAGAAGGCACCATTATTAGCATTTTTCGGTAACAGCCTTAATCTATGTCGATCTGTGTGGCATATCTTTTTCTGGTGAAAATCTCATGGGTCAGCTATAGTTGTTTCTGTGAACAAGTTTAGAAATTAATTTTTCTCTGGTGTATGTTATGTCGTTCTATGTGGCATATGTTTTTCTTTTTTTCTGGAATCAAAAACTTGGATAAAAGATGGTTGATTGGAGTTGGTGCTTCTGATGGAAGGGAGGAGGCAACTTTTAAAGAATATATATTGATACCCTTTTGGTTTGATTAGGATTCATCCAGCATTCTGGTCATGCACTGGTGGTCTGAACTCCACTGCTTTGGGTATCATAGAAATGTATCAATATGTAATAGTTTTTTGTTTTGGTAGACAATGGAAATGTAAAAGAATAAGGCAGTTAGGGTGCACTCATGTGGCAAATTAACCATAGTTTAGTGTATTTGTATCAGAATTTAGTAGGTTGGCGGATCCATATCAAATGTTTAACTGTTTGGTGCCATGAATGATAATAGAGCCTCTGGTGTTCTTGGTATATTCTTTCAAAATAAATGGTAGAGTTGCTTATAAGTTCCTTTTTCCCCCCGGAACTAATGACCGGTTTAGTAGCTATTTGGATTTTCTTTGTTGAATTCATTCTTATCAGATGTTGAGCATTGTACCTTCGTGAAATGTCAATTTTTTTTGTGGTCGCATGCTGCTGTTTCCTTCTAATATTATCTATCGACACGTTTTCAGGCGGGTAATATTTTAATCGATGCAAATGGTGATGTGAAGTTAGCTGACTTCGGAGTCTCTGCTTGCATGTTTGACTCTGGAGATAGACAACGATCAAGAAACACCTTTGTGGGAACTCCATGCTGGTCCATTACTTATCCTTTTCTGTTTTTCTTACAAATTTCATATTTCTATTTGAATGATGTGATTTGGTCCCTGGTCATTAGTCTGAACACATTTATTCTGTCATGTCTCTAGAAGACTCATTTCAGACCCTAAAATATATGAAAACAGGAAGGGGGATTATAGTCATTCTAGCATACATGCATGTGGCGGAACAAAACTGTGTGATCTAGTAGAATAAAGTGGTTATTGAAATCTAGAATATAATCTAGACAGTGCACTTACAGGTCTCTAATATTTCTGCAAGTTAACAATTTTTGGGTTCCAAAACATGCACATTTTATTCATAACCCGAAAAAAAAAATGCTAACACCTTGGAATTGGGTGCTGGTCACTAATGTGTTGACGTAGTTGATTTCAGAAATATATGGTGAACCATTGGTTTCATAATGTGTTGACTGATTGCTTCCCATGTCATTTTACATTTACAGGATGGCTCCGGAAGTTATGCAACAGATGCATGGATATGATTTCAAGTGAGTGTGACCACTTAATGATTTTCAGAAGTTTTTATAGTATTGATTTTTGTAGTATTGGTACGTTGAGGATATACTGGGCTCATTTTGGGACTTATTTCCTCCGAGCAGAGCAGATATATGGTCCTTTGGGATAACGGCTCTTGAGCTTGCACATGGCCATGCTCCATTTTCGAAGCACCCACCAATGAAGGTCGAGTTTTGTTAAATGTGTTTTTTTTTTTTTGCGTATACTAGCTTCATGAAAGTGGTGTTATGAATATTTCTTGAATTCAACAATTTGAGTGATCTCATTTCTTCTTTTCATAGGTGTTGCTTTTGACCTTACAAAATGCACCACCAGGCCTTGACTATGAAAGAGACAAAAGATTCTCCAAGGTTCATTCTTGTTTTTGAAATTGATGCTAGGTGTTACTTCTTGAGTGATGTTGTGAAATTGAAAAATCTCTTTACAGTCTTTTAAAGAGATGGTAGCTGCATGCTTGGTGAAAGATCCGAAGAAGCGTCCATCCTCAGAAAAGCTTTTGAAGCATAACTTTTTCAAAAATGGTCGCACAAATGAATACTTGGCACGGATGATCCTTGATGGCCTTGCTCCACTCGGTGAACGGTTTAGGGAACTAAAAGTAATAGTCTAAAAGATTCTTCTTTAAAAGGAAACTTTCCTTCTACACTGCAGTGATCCATTTTTTTTTTTAGGCCAAAGATGCTTATTTACTTCAAAATAAGGTGGTTTATGAGGATAAGAACGACCTATCACAGGTAATTGTTGTTACATATTTGGACTTATCAACGCTTCTTTCTTTCAAAATATAATTTTCATGTTGTTGGTAAGTGAGTTACTAATGAAATCAGTGAATAGGAAACCTCGGAAAGAATCTCTAAAAACATAGAACACTTGAGAATAGAGTAAGAGTTGGACCGATCGAAAAGAAAACATAGCCTGACACGGATTCATGCAGACCTCGGAAACCCCAATCGAATTACCAAACTACTCTCATATATTATATTTTTCAGGGGTAATGAGGTCCAGTACGAAAACAACAATGAAGAAAAATGAAATCGACCTCTCTCCTCTATTTTTGGTGCCACACAGCTGTTAACATATTTTGAGCAAATAGCCTCCGAAAAATTTCCTGGAAAGTCTTTATCTTTAGCTGTTTCCATTTGACTATACAGTGGTCTGAGTTGGTGAAACATTTTATTAGTCTTTCAAAGGGTTCGTAAGAGGAAAATATTGTCATCCCATAGACGCTCCATGGATGGTCTACTTTATGAGTAGGGTTTTGATAACCTTCAGTCATTCATATCCAAAGTGCATCATAAGTAAATGGCTCTGTCCTTATGGAACTAAGGTTCCTAATGTAAAAATGTTAAAGCATGTGCCATGTGATGCTCCTTTCCTTAAGATTATCTTAGTCGATCGTCATTTTGCATTCAACAGAAAATGGTTTCTTTCCTAAACGGTTGTATGTGGTGTAGAAAGAGTACATGCGGGGGATAAGTGGCTGGAATTTTAATCTTGAGGACTTGAAGGCTCAAGCTGCTCTCGTAATCCCATAAGTAGCTTTCTCTGAGTATTGTTCCGGTTTTTGATAACAAAATTTGATATTTTCCATCGTTTCTTTTGCAGATTCAATCATCTGATACCTTCTCCATGATTGAAGATTTCGATAAAGATCGATGTGAAAGTGCCAACTTTGAAGTGACAGATATTGTGAGCTCTGAAAATGTTAATAGTTCAGAAGCAGCAAACGTGAGAGAGGTACACTGGTTGGTGTGAAGCTTTGAAATTGAACCATCCTAAAATGTCTCACAGTAGTGGCTTCTTCTGTGTTTGGTTTTTGTTGTTTATTTTGAAAGGTATCCTAACATTATTATTTTTCTCTTAGGATGAGAGATGTGATGGCCAGGATTTGGAGGATTCACTTGCTTCTTCATTTCCAATGCTCCCTCTTCAGGCACTGAAGTGAGTGAAGGTTTTCTTATCGTCTATGAATTCAACTGAAAATAGATAGTTCACAATAGCAGATTTTAAATATTAGATGTGAATCAGGATTGTGAATCAGGATTGTGACCCGATTTTAGTCCTGTTTTGATCTTTTGAGAACATTATTTGGACCGGACTACCCTAATTTTATTCTGGACCATTTACGGGGTCCTAAATTCACTGCATTTGATGGAACTGCATATTAAGGAGACTGAAAGTTGGTTATTGCATTTGAAAGATATAGGTGTTTCTGTTTGTATGCACATATATGCAGATGATATGTTGTTGCTCTGTTTATTTTCCCATGGCAACCAATATGGATTGTGGTTTTCTATACTTGTGAATTACATTTTAGTGTAAATCCCTAGATATCAGAATCTCTGCAAAAAGGCCACTTCGATACATTTATGCGGTCCATTAACTGTCACCAAGTGGTGTTATGTTCATGTTACACAGCCATATGTGCAGTCTGATGTGAGACCTCAATATGGTGTTGGCATTGGTGTTTCGTAGTGTTATATTTTCTGTAATTGTGTGACAATGCACAGCATAGTATTTCTTGATGCAAATCCTCTAAATAACTTTCTATACAGAGGATGTTTTGATGTTTGTGAGGATGCAATTAGTCCAGGCGCCCCTGAGTGGAAAGATGCAACGCCATCAAATGTTTCACAGGTAGTCAGCTTAGGAAGTAAAATGAATGAAGATGATACTTCAGAGAGAAGCTCCTTTGTGGACCGAAATATTCTTAGTTCTGACCATCCGAAGTATTTAAGTGGTTCGGTTCTACCTGCACATGCTATCCCTTCCAGGGATGTTGTCGGGGATGTTGAAAGGTAATACTGCGTACAATTCAGGCATATAAAGTGTCGTTAGTTGTGTTTTTTCTCTTACTATGACTCTTTTAGATGCATCATTACCTTTTGCCATTAAAACCTTTCTCTTACTATGACTCTTCTAGTTGTGTTGAAAGCTCTTCTGTCGTTCTTATATAGTTGGTTTTTTCTGAATAATTTGCTTCAAATTTCTTGAACTTTTGGCATGAAAAACTAGAATCTTTTGTTGTTGTGATTTACTGACTAGTGGAATGTTGTATCTGAACTCTAATCTTAAACTTCATGCCTATAAATTCACGTGCATGTTTTATGGATTAATGATGTCATTATAATGTGGAAATGAGTTAGGTATATAATGGAGTGTCCATTCAGGGCTAAGGTAGGGTTGTAATCACTCATATTCAATAAAACAATCCATCTGGTATGGTTCCTTACTTGTTTCATTCCTGTTATATCAGTACAGTATTAGTTGATACAGTCACTTCAGGCTTTGATTAGGCAAGAAAGCGTGACAAACTAATGGCCTAATATAAAATCCACAAGAGAGATTCACTATGCTGTCCATTGCTTGATTTTAGTTATCTTCTCTGTTTTGCTTTTTCAAGGAAATGTGTCTTGAACAGTAGCTGAAGCGGCTTACTGACAAACTCAAATCCTCTTGAAACTTCTACCTCCTCCCTTGTCACACCGCCACTCTTCCTTTCTCCGATTCAATCTGTGTATGTAGCCCTGGATTTGTCTTGTTCCTCCACTTCTCTGAATGCCATTCATTGCTTCGTGCCTTACTCCCAATTAGGAGCCTCCTGTGTTCTCAGGTAACCAGATTTCCTGGTCCTGGCACTGTAGTCAATGTGCAATGACTCACTGATCTTCCTTTAAGAACGAGATGCATCATTTGGGTTCTTTGCATTTATTTTTTTTTGTGTTTATTTGACTGATATATCTAAAAGAAACCATCTGTCTTAGGTTATGTGAAACATAACCAGAAGACTTTCAAATTCAAGTCTTTATTGCTTGTATATTAGGTTAAATATTCGGAAATGCTTTTCAACTGCCCGCTCCAGTGACCTATATAGGACTGATCTCCATTCATCGAATGCCTGTTTCAGAACTCTCATAAGCAAAGTTCAATTAAGTTGTCATGAGTTTTTCTGGTCCTCTGTTGATTGTAGCAGCAATTTCCTTCACTGGACGGCGTGCTCTGTTTTTCCTTGATTAGTCAGCCAATTTGTCAATAATTGGAGTTAAGCGTAATATGATACAACTAGGAATGTGGAATTTCGTTCATTTGATGTCAGTTCCATCTAGTGGATGAGGTTGGGATTGTGATAGGAACCAAGAACCCAAGAGAGGAAATAGAATCTGAAGAACAGAAATTAAGTAGAACAGACAAGGATTGGGTGACCTTTAGAGAGGCCACCGCTTTCCTCCACAAGCTGCAGCCTGCCCTAAAACTCATCCTCCCCTTCCCTCATCCCGTCCTAGCCCTAATAACCCCCTTTTCCCTGTCTAAAATTCACCTAAATACCCTCCGGTCAACCCTCACATGAACCTCACGTGACCCACATGCCCCATTACTTATCGTGTAGTAATTTACATCTTTGGAAGGTCCTAATAGATTGACAGCAATATTTCGTGCATCATTAACTAATCTGGAAAGAGAATTCCAGAATTAGCCAACATGGATCAGAATATAGCCGAGTGTGCCTGACCTTGTCCTGAGGGACGATACATGCATAATCTGTTATTTTCTTTACTAATAAAGAATATGTGTCTCACAAGACAGTGTGTATAGACACGGATAATAGGAGTAAGTTGAATTCAGAAACCAAATTGACGCAAACTTTGGTCATTATTCAGTGAGTTTAGAAAACATTGTGGGCTATGATAATATCACGACTTTCCATGAGCGTTTTGACAGGCTGGTCTCCCCTGTGCTGGAGAGGGCCTTGTAATCATTGGCCAGTCATGCTTGTGGAATTTGGAAGACATTTAGGGGAACTACACTTTGCAATGTGTGCAGTAATAGGATGTGAACCATCTGAGGACATTATAATAAGCCATCTCTTGCCCTGCTGGATAAGTCTTGGTTTTGTAATAATCACAGAAACTCGTCTCTCTGACAAGGAATTTGAAACACACTAAGTGGTCATCTTGCCATCTGATCTTCATATTCTTCTCTCTTTAGTCAGATATTCATTTTTTTTTTATTGTCTTTGTCCTTAATAATCATAAAAGCAAGGGGAAAAAACGTTTTTCGAATTTAGGTTGGAAGTAGAAAGATATTTCACCAGGATGTCTTCTGTGCGAATATACGCAGATAATTTCTAAAATGAAGCCCTTACGTCCCGGAATGGTTTTCAACGCTCTCAAGAGTTAAGAATAAATGTCTAAGTTTACAAAGAAACTCCTATATCAGAGAACACAAGTGTCAAAATTTACCTTGTATGGCTACAGTATAAATCTCTTCATTTCGATTTTACAAGAGATTCAGGGAATTATAGATCAACATTTTTCCCCTTTATGCCCTGTTGAAAGGGTTTTCACCATTATTTTTTATTTTTTATTTTTTTTTGCTGCTTGATGAATTTTGACTCCATTTTGCCATTATAATAGGCTTTAAAAAAAAAAAAATTAATCATCTAAGTAGGTTCAAAGCTCTATACAATGTATGGCCGTATCAAGAGGAGGAAAATTGCTCAGCTCAAAGTAGATGCCTAGATAGAGTCTGTGAGAAGCTTAATCACATGCGAGACACAATGACTTTATAGTAATTCAGTCAATCCTTGACGCGCTCTACTTCATCAAGCCT